ATTATGGTTAATTAATGTACAAAAACAGCAAAACAGAGAGACGTAAAAAGAGCTAAAGATAATAATAGAGGTGGGAAAAAAACATACAATTTTACGTATCAGCATCCAGAAGCTACAGAACATACAGCTTTTAAAGCCACAAACTGTGCCGCTGAAGCGAGCTGATAAAATGCGGCGACAAGGAAAATGGCATGCCACTTAATCACAGCCTCAAATCTTTACCGGATAATGCTTTCATTACACTTCACCTCTCTTTATTCAGTCATTAATATCTCATCGGAGCCATATTAAGACCAAGCAAAATGCTTCCTTCCTACAGACACTCAGGGGACGAGGCAGATTAGATCCCCTTTGTTAACATGCATTACTTAGCATTCAAATGGCTTAAACCGCCTCCTCTTTGTTAGAGGAGGAGAATTGGAAATACTTTGCTGAAACCTTGTCATATTTGATCAACTCACACAACCATCTGCAGTACCTTCCTCGGCATGTAGAGTTTGAACAAACTCACAAACTGGCCTTTGACTGTTCCCCGCCTGAGGAACTCAAAAGCAGCTTTGATGGTAACGCGGTCCGACACTGTGACAGGAGCCAGGGAACAAAGCTTGACACCACAAACCCTCCCATCCTCCCGTAATACATATTGCTCACTCTTCCTCGCACACATACACAAACACCACAGGGGACTTGTCACCCGCCCACACTAAAATCTCCCGCCCTGCCCATCCAAGTGTTTGAGTTATTACCTGTTTCCAGGGCCAATAAAGCATGAATCAGGTTATGAGACGGGAACCAAGAGCTGAACATCTCACCCTTTATTAAGCTGTCTGTTACTGTGAGAAGAGGCAGGCATGCACGCGCACACACAAACGTAAAGTTCACACAATCAACAACGACAGAAACAGGGGAGCATAAAAACACAATGATTGCTTCCGGGAAGAACAGATGGGACAGTGTGAAGGGAGAAAGGCTGGAAGAAGAGGGGGGGAAACCAAGAGGGGAAACCAAATGAAAGGGAAATGAAATAAGATATCCTTATGCGAGGAGACAAGTGGTAAGAAGTCAGCAGGCTGCAGGATGCCACCGCAGCCTTGAGTGTGTATCAGTGCATCCGTAGCAAGCACCCAACCATAAGTACTATTTACCAAATGTGAAAGTACTGTTATTTATGACACCACGGAGTGCAGGGGAAGTCAAGTGTGGTCCAAGACAATGTGAAGAAATGCCACTCCGCTATTTTTACACACACTGCACTGTCACAAGGTCACTTGTCTTCTGGGCAGTTCTGGTTACTTTATTAAAAGTTAGTTTACAGTTAGTGTGAAATCTTCATCGCCATTAAACCTTCACACACACAAACATGCTGTACTTGTAATCTCACAGGACACATTCAGTCAAAGAGTGCCAATGCATGTGTGTGTGTGTGTGTGTGTGCAGATTTCAGAATTACAGTCCTGGGGAGTGAACTGAGAAAAATGCCTGACCTGTCATCTGTCACCCTAACACAACATATGCAAACTGTACTCGGGACATTTTCACACAATCTGGACATTTTCATTCATTCGGAGCTCTTCCACCACATTCTGATGGCTGTGTTTGCTCCAGGCAAACACTTTTAACATGGCAGCGCCGTGAAGGAAATGAATTGAGACGAACAAATGGCTTCTGCAAAGCTCTGACAGACTAAACATGGCAACGGTTTTGCAGCAGGAGGCACCAGGTCCACGCAGCCAATCAGAGGAGAGCCACAAAGTAAGAAGTTGGCTCATAATCATTAGGTGTATAAGACTGCAGGCTGAGACCACAGTGATGTGTGTTCTCCCTCCAGACTGGGTCTGACATTGTTTATTTTAACGTTTTATTCGGCGCTATGGGCCGCATGGTGGATCGGTGGTTAGCGCTGTTGCCTCACAGCTAGAAGATCCTGGGTTCATGTGTGGGGAGTTTGCACGTTCTCCTCATGCTTGCATGAGTCCTCAGTCACAGTCCAAAGACATGCTGAGGTTAAATGGTGATTTTAAACTGTCCGTAGGTGTGAATGTGAGTGCGTTTGCTATCCGTGTGGCTCTGGTGACCTGTTCAGGTTGAACCCTGTCTTCGCCCTAAGTCAGCTGGGATAGACTCCAGCCCCCCTTTGACCCTACAGAGCATAAAGAGGTGTATAGATAATGGATGGACAGATGGATGGATTCTGAGCTATTGTACTTTTTAGTCACAGGCGTAGCCTGTGTGCTGTCACTTAATGTTGATGGTTTTATGGTTTGTGGTTGGATATACTGCATTTTCTTTCAAGATTTAGAGTTTGGTTTTCTCTCATACACAGAATAGTCCCTAACAATAGGTTTACTGAGTGCTCGGGTCCTCTTCTCTTGCTTTCCTTTTCAGTTGTAGGCCCTGTGCATGTGTGCAGGGCTGTTATATAAAACATATTTTTTTCTGTGCCTTTTGTCAAGATGCAAATGCAGTTTTAGGTGACTGAAAATCGAGCTTTTGGAAAATTCCTTCCAGGGTGAAGATTTTCTGAAATTGTGTCTGTAACATAGACAGGTAGAGTTGCTGAACTGTGAAATCAGAATGTGTGCCAGTTTTGTGCAGTGGTGGATGTGGCCAAACTAGTGCCTGTGTTAACCTTCCTAACAAAGCTTTTTATGCGTTTACACTTAAATGTACAGTTATTCTTAAACAGCATTGAGGAACAGAGGGACTAGAATCAGGCCATACATATGAGTCTTCCTTTCTTGTTGTGCAATTGGAAGTACAATATAAGAACTGGCCATCAATTTTTTGTTTTTTCGACTTGTCATTGGCCTTAATGGGCTGTAGGGTGAGGCTGTTGGTCTGGCACGCTTTTAACAATGCTTCAGCTGTGTTTTTGCATCTTCATGTGGACAGAGATTTTTTTTTTTAAACCAAAGACTGAAAATGCTGTTTTAAGGATTCCCTATGTACGTGTAACCCCACAGTTTACAGAACAAAAGACAGCTAAAATTCAAATTTTGCCTTGTTTCTAGATCTACCTTTAGCAATTAGTTGCTCTAAACTGGAACATATTTGCTACCTTTAGTGTACAGATTTATTACTTTCAGAATACCTTTAAGAATTTCAGCAATCTCTGTGGGCAGACGAAATGAGCTATGGAAATATAAAACAGAAAGACTTATGACCATGGCTCATTTATTTCCTGGCCAGACAAGGATATATTTCAGTATGACATTGATTTTGTAAGAAATTCCTATTTTAGTTTATTTCATGTCTTCTCTCTAGCAATATTAGAAAAATGTCAGAACAGAAATTGACATCAAATTACAAAATCAGACGGTGTTCATCCTAATAAAAACTTCATGTCTCTTTTAGCACGTATTCATTTTACAGTGATCTTCACGCTTGGCTGGATTAACCTCCTGGGTCCCTATTGAAGGTCATTATACATGGCAGTTTCATTATTTACCTCGCCACCCGAGGACCAGGAGCTGAAAATGGAGCTGCAGTTATTAGTTTATTGATTGAACAGATAGGTAGGGACTTAACAAGCAACAATATAACCAATTACCTGTATAGGTCTTTTTTTTTTTTTAAAGCAGAAATGCCAAGCGTTTTTGTGCCAGATACTCAAATGTGAATATTATCTTGTTTTTCCGTTTTTTAAAGAGCATGACATTTTTGACTGTCTCTGTCTGACATTATACATCATACACTGAGCAATCAATTTATTATTAAATATGATAATTGGTTTTAGCCTTGCGGTGCTGCTCAATATAACATTACGTTGCCTGAGGTTTTGTGCGTTAATTACTTGACGCATGGAAAAAAAATGAAAGTAATTTGATGAAATGCCATATCACAACATATGCTCAACAAATGGAAGGTAATGGACCTACATTTAAGGTTTCAAAACACCTCAAGATGGATGACTGAGGAATCTCAATCGCTGATGATTGATTCATCCCCATTTTTGGACAGATTTTGGATCATTCAAATGGTGTAGGCCAAATAACAGAGAGTAGACTTAATCTTCTCGGGGCTCCTGTGTGAAGGAGCACAGAGTTTTTTTGAACATTGCAAAGGACACAATAAACAGGGCTTCTGTACTTCCTCCTCCTAAAGATTTTCTGGTATTTGCCTAGTGTCAGTGTTTTTTTGTTGTTTTTTTTGTGCATCACATTTGCAGATCTGTTTTGGGCAGCAGCTCAGCATCAAGTAGAGCAGCAACCAATTTGTGATGTGTTAAAGGCGTTTCTTATGAGCTCAGAAAACTTCTATTCGTCCATATCGGACCAAAATCATCACAAATCCCCCATGCATATCAACTGTCAGTGAAAACATTAGCAGTTTTATCTGTAGCATATTTGCATGCTTCAGTCAATGCTACAAGTTCTGCAGCCTGAGCAGAGTCGTTAGGGAGTGGTTGTGCAATTATCGTCTCATGCAGTGTAATTACAGAAAAACTTATGTGGTTTTTCCCTGTTACTGGATCTCCTGAGACCGAGCCATTCGCAGATAGTTCTAAGTCTGCTTCGACAAGCACACTTAACACTTAATTTCCTGCATTCAGTTGATTTTTTTATGCACTAACTTGCACATTCTGCGTGTATTGTCACATTCACAAGTAATGTTCTAAGGTTTTTGTTTTTTTTTTAAATGAAAGCTCTCTGCTTTGTTTGTGTTTTTAATGAGGGCGACACATGCACAGGTACTATTGTATATGTACATGTAGTTACTGAAATCCTCTAAAATCCTTAATTTTATTTCACATATTAGAACTCTGGTGATTTGGTATATTAGAACTGCTGAGTTATTTTTATTTATTTGCTATTTTAATACAGCTGAGATTCAGACTGCAGGGTTATGTGGGTGAATGGATGAGATCACACCTGAGCGCGTGGCTCCATCTGCTGTTGGAGTCTCACTGCTGCAGCTCGCGCGGGTGTTTACTGTTGCTAGGTAACGCACATACGCTCACGTATAACGTCCTTTACGGCTCTGGAGCAGCTTCGGTTTGACCACAGTAACAGTGAGAGGTTTTTTGTTTGTTTGTTTGTTTGTTTTTTTTACCATGGCAGGAAAAGAGAAACTGGATTTGGTCCGTCAAAACGCAATCCACACAGAGACCGTAAGGAAAGAACAAAGAGTGCAGAAACTCCACACCGAGTTCAGCATCAATCCGTACCGGAAACGTGAGTAAGCTAGTTTTTGATTCTGTTCAGCTAAATGAGCAAAGAGGTGACATGAAAAAACAGTATCACAGAGAGGAAACTTATCAGAGTGTAACCGGTGGTTTCTGTACTACGTTGTGTGATGAGCCGAAACACAGATCTCTTTGGAGGCGATCTCCGTTTTTTGAAACTTGACAGACGATAAAAAAAAATAATAATAAGAAAAAAAAACATACACAAAATCCACTGTCAGTTCTCGACTTGTACAGCTACAGTGATAGAACAACATATTAGAACCGGGAAAGTAAACTTATAAGTGAAATTATGTACATTAGATAACACAGACAACAGCAGCATAGTCTTGTTTACCTCCCACAGGAGGGTAAGGCGGGAAAACCCATTTAGAGGCCACGGTGGGCGAGCAAAAACGTACGTGGGGTACTAGGACCCCCAAGTGAAGGTTCCACACCACAACCAAAGGGCAGACCAGATTTTATGTGATTCTATTAATGAAAGTGACAACAATAAAAAAAAACAGTAAATTAAAATATATATGGTACAATATGTCTAACTAATAAAACAATACATATCTATTTAATATAAAACTGCTGCTGCATCACTGACCCTGTTTGCAGGAGCACATTTGGTCCCAGAAAAAAACTTTAACTACCATATATATATATATATATATAATTTTATTTTTATTTTCATTTTTTGCAAGTTTTTGGGGTCCAGCCATGGGTCTATTGTTTTACACTACAGCTGTTGGTGCTGAGCCAGACCAAGCCAGCGTCGCGGGAGAGACCAGATATATCCGATGAGCTGGAGGAAGAGGGGATGCAGGGCAGGAGTCATCATGGGAAATGTGAGGTCTCTCCCTCACGGGCTGGAAGAGCTAACAGCTAACATCGCTGACCTGCACTCTTATGTTGTTCACGGAGTCATGGCTGAACGAACTCAGTCCGGACTCGCTTGTAACTTTGGACAGATTTCACCTGGTCAGAGCAGGCCGGAGCTTGAAGGACAGTGATAAGAAGAAAGGCGGAGGACGCGCCATGTATGTGAATGAGAGATGGTGTAATGCTGGCACGTCAACGTTAAAGAGCAGCACTGCACAAAGGATGTTGAACTGCTAGCGGTTGGTTTGCGGCCGTTTTACCTGCCAAGGGAGTTCTCACAGGTCCTGGTGATTGCAGTTTACATCCCCCCTTGGCTGATGCTGCTACAGCCTGTGAACTCATCGATAACTCAGTGTCCCAGCTGCAAACATCACACCCTCAGTCTCTGATCGCTCTCTACCATTCTCCCCAAACCAGAGATGGTGGGGCCTTGGACCTGCTGTGTGTGGACACCAGGATGCATATTACTTAATTATTGTTATTTTCCTGTACTGGATGATTCAGACTTGAAATATTGCACAGATACTGAGGTATCCCTTATAGGCACTACATACACTAAATGGTGGAAATACAACATTAGAACCAGTGTGTCCTTCCTTTTGTGCTCTGATTATGGTGCAGCTGGTCCTGGAAGATGTGTGGTGCTTAGTCAGATTGAGATCTTGGGAATTTATAATTTTTGCAGTGTGACAGGGTGTATTATGTAGCTGAAAGAGGCAACTGCCATCAGGGAATACTGGAAGGGGTGAATGTGGTCTGTCACAATGTTTATGTAGGTGGTATGTGTCAAAGTAACACCCAAAGTTTCCCAGCAGAATATTCCCCAGAGTGTCTCTGCTGGCTTAAGTTCCTCCCACAGCTCATCCTGCTGCTGTCTCAGCCTCAGATAAACAATGCACACACACCAGAGTGTCAGGCCACTTTTTTCTGTTGCTCCATGGTCCAGTTCTGACACTCAGATGCCCATTGTGGGTGCTCTCTGCAGTGGACAGGGGTCACCGTCAACACTGACTGGGCTGCAGCCACACAGTCGAGTATATAGCAAGCTGTGATAAAACGTGTGCCGATACTATTCTGTCATGGCCATCATTAAGGTTTTTCAGCAATTTAAACTAGTGTAACTCTGCCGGGTTACAACCACACTAGCTGGCCTTCTTTGGACCACTTTTGGTAGATGTTTGGATCACCCCACCTGCAGTTAGGCCTATTTTTCTTGCTCCCAGCACATCTTCAAGAACTGACTGTTCACCACCTAATAGGCTACTGCAAATCCCTTTCCTTGACAGGTGCCATTGTAACAACATGATCAATAGTATTCACTTTATCCGTCAGGTAATATTGTGGCTAATTGGAGTAAAAGACAGTTGGGAGTGTGTTGCTTTCTGCAATTCTGGTTATCTGGCAGTGTATCTGTTGTTACAATAAACTCTGTATAAATTGTCATATCATCTTCTTTTACTTCCAATGTCTGCTGTCTTTCAGTGCACATCCTGCCAGACAAACCCATGTCTAGGAAACCAACAGAAGTTTTTGAAGAGGACTGTAAGTTTTCCTTGAAATTGAAGAGAAAGAATCATTTGCTTCTGCTTATTTCCTCTGTTTTAGAAAAATTACAGTTGAAGACACGCGACTGTTGTCCACTGTGATGCTAAACAGGATGACATAAATGGACAGAGTTATCGTTTAGTGCCTCCAGGTAACTGATTGTCTCTTTCTTTCCAGTGGACTTCCTCAAGGCTTACCACAAGGCCCAGGAGGTGCCCAGCAAGAAATATTCAAGGCCACTTACTGAGAGTCAGGAGATTGGATGGGTGGCAACTCCACTGGTGAGGAAAACTCAAGTGTCAGTGTGTTCAGTTACCAGTTTATTAACTAGTAATCAAACTACAGGCTGAATTATAAGCAGAGGGCTCCCAGTGTAACTTGTTAACGTGCATGCAAATACATTTTCTGTTCCTCAACTGTAGTGAAGTCCCCTTAGTTTTGGTTTGTAAAACCTGATCATTCCTGAACTAAATGTATAGAAAATTGTATTTTAGGGAGAGTGTGCTCTTTAAAAAAAGATTAGAGACAGAGACATACAGAATTAGCTTTGACTTCTTCTTTTTCCCTCAGTCTCAAAAGGGGCTGAATACTCATGTTTTAAAATTAACTCCAACACTTTAAGGGTTTTATATGGCAGCTGATTTAAACTGTGTGGACAACTTTGTGCATAGAGATGCATTTTTTGGTAACAAGAATACACCACAGTAAAAAGCAGTTGTGGCTGGTTTATAAGTTTGTTAAAGTACCAAAGTTGATACAACTGGGAGATTTAATATCTGTAATAAAACTGTCGTAAATGAGTCACACAGTCATGTTGAGTGTGACGAGGAAGGGGTTTTCTCTGAAAAGGAACCATAGAGATTTGATTCTATTTCAAAAAAGAAAATATTATGAACCCCCCAAAGTGACCGTAGGGAAATTCCCACAATGTAAGCCGCTGTCCAACTGTCATAAAAAAGTGGACCCAACAAAAACTGATTGATTTGTGCACAAAAACCAGCCGGACTGAGTTTGCAATAGACTGTACATCAGTATTAGCTTTGCGACACAAGTTGTGTTAAGTTGGTTGGTGTATCAAGAGTCTTGGCAAAACATTTTAATATTAAATGAGGGTAATGGTGCTTTTATTTTACTAGGATCTGAATATGGCTTACACCATCACTAAAATGCAATAGCCTGTTAACAAGTCCCAAAACCCAGGCGTCTTTGGAACCCTGTAGCTCTGGAATATTTTTACAGTAGAAATTTCATTTAAAGTTTAGACAGGTCACAAGGCTTTAAATGCCATTTGCTTAAATCCGTGTTTTGATATCTTTTCAGAGTGGGTGGCATCAATGCCTAGTTTAAATTTTGAGCAATGTGCAGTTAACTTTGTCTCATCACTGTTTTTACTCTACGTGAAAAATTTATACATAAAAACGTAGGTATTTTTGTCCTCTTTCACAGTCTGAATCTCATTGCTGTGGGACTTGTGGGCTCTCTCTAACCTGTCACCAAATCTGTATAATAGCATGTACATGAAAATACATCAACTTGTTCAAAATGAGTTCATGCTTCACAGTGAAAGAATGGTCCTAATACAACTTAAACATTTTGACCTGTGACCGTTTCTTCAAGGGTCTAATCCTTAATCTGTCTGTCTGCTTTCTCACCTTCTACTGACAGGTGGGAATCACCATAGCAACCAGTGATTGGTACTGGACTAGAAGAACCATTGAATTAGGCTATCTACCAATATACATTTTCTAATCTGTTCTATTCACTGCAACACCATCACAGTAAAACGGACTTGAAAGCAAACCAGGACCAAACATAAAAACATATTAATGCCTAATCTGCATGACCAACTAAAAGCAAGTAGGCCCTTGTGGCAACGTACGTACAGAAACAGTATGGCTTCATTCAGAGCAATGACTCATGTATGGGGTAACAGTTTGCAGATATAATTCCTCAGCTAAGAATCAGTATCACATGGAGAAAATTATCAGGAAAACAACTGGTGTAAATGTGATTCTTATGGCTGACTTCAATCCCAAACTCTGACCAGGACCTCCTACAGAGCAGGTCAGCTGTCCAGCATCTGTTACCATGGTGACCTAGTCAAGTTAAAAGAGTGCCACCTTCATGACATTGATAACTCTGGCTTCAAGCTTAACTTACCTCACTAACTCATTCATCTTACTTCGTGGCACACTCCCCTGATCTTACTCATACACTAACTTCTAAATACTAACTGTCCATTTTTTCCCTCCCAGATCCCATCAAACCGTCACGACAGCAGACTCAACTTCCCCAGATGCCGTACGGACATCACCAAAAACCAATGATTTGGGCTGCCGCTTTAGTTCACGTGGGTCACCATGTACAGCTACACCAAGAATTTGCCTGACGAACATCAAATTAAACCATGAAAAGCAGAGAGAAGTGAGTTCAAATGAATTTGTTTATCATACAAACACACAGGTGTCAGCACAGTCTGCCCTTTCTGTATTTCCATCTTAGCAAACTAAGAAAAACACTTGGCAGGGGAAACATTTGCACAGGTCTATACAAAGCACATTCACCCAACCCATACTAATCATATTAATGAATAGGAAAGGGCAAAACTGACAGCTGCTCAATATTATAAAATGCCATGTCACATGGGAGAGAATCAATGAGTCAAGGAGCCGAGTTAGAAAAAATAAAACAGAATACACCAGACTCAGAAGAACACACAGTGTCAACCGGACAGCAGGGAGGTGTGAGTAAATACTGAGGTGTAATAACAGAGTGGGCACTAAATCCACCCTATAGAGACAATAGCGGCCACAGACAATAAAAACTTATCTATGGTCATTACTTAATTAACTTCTCTTTATGAGCCTTATGGAAATTGCGTGTAGTAAAGCAACTTGGGTCGCTCAATGCAATCCGCTCTTGACTTTAGTTGTCTGGTCCTTCAAACAGCCTTCTTAGCAATGAGACAGGACGTCTCTCTGTGTGGCTTGAAGCTGGTTTACGTTGTCCTCCATCAATCCTGACACATTTTATCGAAGGCATGTTATATATAAAGTGAAGAAGAACAGCTCGTGTTCCCCTACACAACTAGTGAGCAGGTCTGGCAAATCCTGCCTAGAAGCAATGTCCAAGTCCAGTCTGTTAACCAGCCTGTCAGCTTTTTACGAGCGACTCTTCATCTTCTTGCGTACAGACTTGCCCGGACGTTTCTGAAAGCCCAAGTAAAAGAAATTAGGTGTATTCTTACTAACTATATACTTCCATCTGACAAGTTCTCTACATGTAATAAATTACTCAGTGCCTTTTATATGTGTGTGTGACTCACATTTTGTTTTCCTCCTTTGCCTTTCTTCCCTCCCTTGGCATGAGCCACTTTGGCACGAAAACTGGAAACATCGTTGAAGCTCTCCTTGGTGTTCCACTTCTTTCCACTCTTTTTGCCTCCAAAGCCAAACTTCTTGTCCTTGTATTTTCTCTTAGCGTTGGGGCTGTCAAAATAACAGTAAAGTTTGAGGTTTTTTGTAACAACGCCACACATGTCAAGAGGAAAAATAAATGCTAAGCTTACAATTTATGATTGCAGTGTGCACGGTTGAAAAGTTCATGCCTTACCCCTTCTTGTTCATTGCTTTCTTTGACGCTTCAGAAGAATCTTTACCCGTTTTCTTCTCTCCTTCTAAGAAGTCCAGTTTGTCCGTCATTCCTACAAGTGAGGATGATCAGAAATGTTAAAACTTGGCTTGGATTTAGAAAAAAAACACACACAAAGATCATGTTGCAACAAATTACAAGTCACATTTTCCCAGTCGACAATATTTGACACTAATGCATTTTTTACTTTTGTGTGGTGAGAAAATTCTAAACAAATTTCAATATAAAAGCTCCAAGCTGCACATGTAAAAACCCACCTTTCTGGTATTTCTTTACAGCCGTCATCATCGCCTTCTTCTCCTTCTGTCTCTTCTGGATCACTTCTATTTGGACCTGACATAGAATCAAAATTCATGTTACTTCCTCATTTGTTAAATGGTTTGAATTGGCTTCTTTGTTACAAAAGTAAGAAATCTTTGCAAACTGGGACTGACCTTCTTGCCAAACTTCCTCTGTTCACGTAGTTTCTTGGCCTTCTCAGACTTCTCCAGACTCATCTGCTTTGACATCAGCTTTTTCCTGATCTAAACAGAGGAAGAAAATATTTCATTTCTTTGTTCTGACATTTGAATTCAAGCCTGACAGCAGGACAGAGCAACTGTACAGAGTTCATGAACCAAAAATGGAATGAGAATTATTATACAATCTGGGTGAGCACTTATAGGATGTAAAGGAACAAAGACTCTAACTGCCTCTTTCATGTAAATCTGAATTCACCGTTATCACATATCTGCTACCGATAGTATTGAACATGTGAAACAAGAAACAAGCAGCGGCTGTAGTTTTGCTCTTACGGAATATAATGATACGTCTGAATTACTAAATTCATCTTGAGAATAAAACTTCTTTTTCTTTAATCCCATTTGTCAAAACACGGTGTCATTCTTGTGCTGAAGAACCAGCTCACCTTCTGCATCTGCTGATCTGACTTGGCCATCTCTGCAAAGTAATCGTCGGGCCTCTTGGTGGCTATGCCGTGCTTGTTGAGGAGGGGCAGGGCCTCCAAGACTGCAGCTTGAGCTTGGCGGTAGCTGAAGTTCAACACAAACAAAAAGGACTTTGGATATGAACTCTGCAGCTGTGTCAAGATGTTTTCTAGCACACAGTTAATCTAGTAGCATGGAAGTGTTGATGTCAAATATAGTTTTATCCAGTAGGAAAACCTACACCACACATTTAAAGCAACCAGCATTCTCTGAAGTTCTTACTCTGCCCAAGTTAGTTCTCTGCACTCACTCAAATGCAAAATTAATATTTGACCATAATTTTGGATGTGTGTAAATAAACTTATTATTACTAGTCGTTACGGGGCGTACACACATGGAGACACTAGCAGCCTTGTGACAACCAGAAACCATGAAATGTCAATGAAATTCAGTGACATGTAACGATAACAGGCTAAACAAGTGTTGGCAATGCAAAGTAGGTGAGTAGCCAGTTATCTCAACTTTGAGGCAATTCAAAGAATGTGCAATCACTGAGTTTCCCAAAAGGAAAGAACATTCACAATTTTGTTTCCAACTACTTTAAACACAACAAAATGGAAGAGCAGTTCATCTTTGTGGTTTTCAACAATCCTGAACAACTGCAGACACAACCTACATATCATACCTGAATAATTTAAAGTCATGTTAAGTTACAGCTTTGATCTATAAACTGTATTACAAAAAAATAAAATGTGGGTGAACTGTCACTGTTGAAGTGTGAACCTTCACCAGTAACTGTCAGCTACAAATTGATGAGTAAATTGTTCTATTTGTGGATGGTGCTTAAATCTTGAGACAAAGTAGACAAGAAATCCCCCCCAAAAAAACTTCAAATTGTTGCATTTCCATGACAACTGGGCTGTTTAATTTTCTGAGAAAGCATGTATGATCCCAGCCTTCAGAACAGAACACATACACATAAACGCAACATCAAAAAAATTAAGTTATGGTCACTTACAAGAACATCTCCCTCTGGAAGTCATCGTTGGCATTGACTTCTCCATTGGCCAGAGCTGAAACTTTCCCCTCAACTTTGCTGAGAATGTCTTCAGCTGGCAGATTGGTCAGGTCTAACCTCTCCACCCAGGGAAGATTTTTACGCAAGTCAGCCAGACAATGCTTCATCCCCTCCTGCATGTTAACATAGTACAATTGCATATTAAACAACATATATTAGATAATGCTATTACAAGCCTACAACAATCTAACAGCCTTGTTCATCATGGTTTATAGGGTTCAGGTTTTCTGTATACCATAACTATCTGCTAATAGGAGCACACCAAGCTGGTCATGCTTTTAAAATAATAGTGTGTAGGATTTAGTGGCATCTAGTGGTGAGGTTGCAGACTGCAGTCAACTGAATACCCCTTGCCTCGTTCTCCCCTGCTAAAGGCTAATTAATGCTTTACACGTTTGCATATCCACACGGCTCTGCACGACGTAAATTTTGTCATCAGCCCAAGTTTGCATGCAGCCCAAAATTTGTGACTACGTAGACTATAAACAACGCACAGCAAATTTGCATGTATCAAAAAAAAAAAAAAGGTGTTTAGAACAAATGCTTGTTTTGAGGAGAGACTGCGTAAGGAGATTATTTGTCATCCACACCTTTATCATTTATTTGTATGAATCAATGAATTGTTTATGACTGAAGTAGTCGCTACAGGACTTTAGAGGTACTTTGATTTGTACATGTATTCCATCAATAGTACCAACAAGCAGTGGGATGTTGTAAATTCTCTAGAAACCCCCATGCACTAAGTCTGCCTACTATGTTTACCACGCCTCAGTAATAATCACAGACGTGGTGCAACAATCCAATCAGTAACCAGGTGCTATATCCAGTAAAAAAAAGTACAAAATCATTGTCAGCCATAGTACCCCTACATGTTAGTTTGTCACACACATGGGCAATGCGACCATGTGTGTGACAAACCAACCTTTACCTGTTAAATCAACTGAACCACATCAACTCAACTGTCTGCTGTTTGCTTTCCAAGTCTGCAGTAGTCAGAACAGTGGTCACTAAAAACATGAAAGCTCATCTCTAAAATACAGTGTTTGGCTTGTCTATTCTAGGCTACTCTAGAAAGATGGTAAGAAAACATCGTTGAAGAAGAATCGTTAACTGTTTAGAAATAAAGAGCTCATTCTAAGGTAAATGAAAACACAGCAAATTCTTATTTGACTATACATTAATCAAAACATAATTCTGAATATTATTTTTTATTCGTGCTAATAGATGCCATTAAAAACCCTCACACTGATCTTTTAATGGAGCTGCCATGGTTCGTTGGCACAATGGACGACACTGATGCTGAAAGCCGTCAACATTTGTTGATTTAACTTCAGTATCACTGCGTAAATGTTGTGCCATGATACCAGTCGTGCTTGTCTCTAGTAAAGACAATAGAGAAGACCTATTTGGCGCAAAGGCAATTTCAGTGCGTTTGCTTCTCTCTGTGTTAACAGATTGTATTTTAATACACCCAAATTGCCAGTAAAGCGGTTCATATTACAGATTTTTCTGTTGCTGTGACTAAACGAAGAATTAAAGAGAGACTGAATAATCGTTCATTAAGACTACATGTTAAACAGCAGTCGTTTACAAGCTGCTGCTTTGCATCGCTAAAATCCGATAATCGTAAAGTCATACACAGAAGTAAAAAAGACAACTGCTGGGCTATTATTTCAACTTTATAATCATAGAATTGTAAATTACTACCAAAGTAAAAGTACAGCAACCCAATAAGGAGAACAGGAGTTGATTTAGCTGCTCTGTGCTCGTCAAATATCTACCGTGTCCATGTTGTACTTGGTTAAATATACTGATCGAACAGCATCACTTGTTATTGGCTTTAATGGAAACTTGCATTTCTCCTGAAGCTGCACTACTGACTTAAATAACAATCCCCCTGTTTAAGCTTTTTTAATTTTTAATTAATTTTTTTACATCTTGGGAGTTTCCAGTTTAACTCTACTGTTTTGTACTTTACCATTCTGTATTGTACGGCAATAAAAGTGACATACAGTTTGTCAAAATAAAATGAACTTAAATACAATGGTCATTTAACACTTTGAGTTACTCACCACATTGTTGACGAACTTCTTGGATTTCTCCACCATTACATTCATTCCAGGTTTCAACAACCCTTTTGAGAAAGCTTCTTGAAGCTGAGGAGTACACATGTGGTTAGGTGCATGCATTTAGTTTTATGCTGAACACACATTGTCACGTGAGGGCTTTAAGTACATTCACAACACGCTAAAGCAAAGCTCGACAGTCGTATTAAACATGAACATGTAGGCTCCATACTGCATTATCTGCTCCTCTACCTTCACCTGCTGTAAACAAAGAGTGTTATCTGTCTCATTTACTGTCAGAAAAACACTTCACAGAATCCAACAGAAGCAGCAACGAGATTTACTGGCCGCTATGTTCGACTCTTTCTAAATAGGAGATATAACGATGTTCTCTTTGGTCCAACGGGGGTCTGGATAGCGGCTGTTAGCATTATGCTAACGTTGTCGGTGTAAACTCACCTCACTGTCGGACAACTCGCTGTACTCATCCTCTGACTCCTGGCCGAGCTGCGCCTCCTCCTCTGCGGGCTCCATGCTGCTGCTATCGATAACCATAAGATGGAAATATGGGACGTAGCGGTCTTAAAACCACTCAGTAAACTGCTGAAACTGGACGTACGTCTCCTCACATGTACGGAGCACTTCACGTGGGGAGGAAAGGACGTCACTGCGCGTTCTACCAATACAGTCCGCCGGGTGGAAACCATGTGTGCGAACAAACGTTCCTACCTGGAAACGCTGAAAAGCAAATATGGTGGCACTTTAATACACATTTGTTAAAAACATGAACGATTAACTTGGTAAAAGGTGAGCAGAAATATTATATGTATATCTTTAGTGCAACTTTATCATCGTATTACTTTTTTTTTTTTTTTTTTTTTTAAATTCCCTTGTTTGTTTACACATTCTAATACAGCCTGCAAACTTGACTTAACCCTTTAACCCAGATATTATATTAAGACAAGTCCTGTTACCCTGCATTACTCAGGTTCATCGGGAAAATCTGGATTAGTTTGGCTTTTCATATATACACTTTTGTAGGGTCTTGGCTTTAAATTTGTTAGAGAATATAATATTGCTGGTTTCCAACCGTGGCATTCAAGTTATTTAGTTTAATGCATATTATATGTTGCACTGCACAGTCTTAATAAATATATTTATCAGGTAAATTATGCATAATCATTAATATTGCAGGATCATAACCGTAGTATTTTATTTAGTGTCATAAATGTGTGTTTTGTATAATATTATAGGGTTTTCACCACATAATTTAAATTACTCTGCAAACGTTACATAATAAATAATACATTTGGGTCTTGATCCCTATATTTAATTTACTAGAATTAAATTTGTATTTGTAATTTGTATTCTTTATAATATTATAGGTTTGTAACCACTGTATTTGAGTCACTCAGGAAAATTTATGTAGAAATTATTACATTAGGGTTTTATCCTTACTGTTCAAATTTAAAAAGTAAATTCAAAACACCAATGTTATTTTTCTACTGGAAAACACTTTGGCTTAATGGCTTTAAATATGCTTTGTAAATAATGATGATTTAACTAATATTTACATTTTGCATTTTTGCATCATTTATCTTTTTGTTTTAACCTTGTCTATGTATAATTTTATGTATATTTATGATTTTGCCCCTTTTGTATCCTGCTTTAACCTTTTCTGTAAAATCACTTTGTAAACCTTTGTTTTTAAAAGTGCTACATAAATAAAGCTTCTATCATTGACATTATTATTAAAAATAAATCTAACTTTACTTCTACGGGGTGTGTAATGTTAAGGGAATCCTCTTGGAGGTGCAGTCGTGCACCTCAGCCAACTGTAACTGTATGCTCTGTATCTACTGTAATGTTCAATAATACGACAATAATGTACAACAACACTCGTGGCAATAAAGATAGATAGATAGATAGACAGATAGATAGATAGATAGATAGATAGATAGATAGATAGATAGACAGACAGATAGACAGATAGACAGATAGATAGATAGATAGATAGATAGATAGATAGATAGATAGATAGATAGATAAATAGATAGAGCTGAAGTTTCATAGATCAATAAGGAGCAAGGAGCAGCCAAAGCCTTCTGTCAAACTTGCCAAAATTACTATGCAAATCAAAGTTCACAATCAATTCTCTCAAAGATTCTGATTTAAATCTTTATGAGTCTGATCGTGCAAATGAGGCCTCATGAGTTTCATTTGCCACCTCATCAAGAAAGAAACTGTCGACATCGCTTTTCCATTTCTCAATTCCTGAGTCAATTTCTGTCACTTTGACACACCACAATTGAGAAAAATGTCTGCAGCTTTGCCCCAGTGTCACTGGACGTTTGGCCTATGGGAAGGATCACGGCAGATATGGCCATGAATATGTGCTACTCTGACAAAAAGTTCCTTTCTGCACACGTCTGCCTGTGATGGTTTTATAATAGATGCTGTTTATTAGATGATTCCCTCTTTCTACTTACAGATGGGCACTCCTTTGTGTGTCGTCTGTGTGGATGTTTGTTGCGTCTGTCGGTTTCCTCCTAGATTTATGTTCAAGCTCTTTTCCTTCCTCATGCTGGGAATGAAACTGACCATTGAGAGGTCAGGTCAGATGTTACAGGGCAGCGGTAACCATGTGAACTTTTCCATAAACACTGACATCAGTCTAGTATAATCTTGTGGAGGTTCCTATGCACCTCACACACATTTTGCTGTTTATTTGAGAGAAGTCAAGGGGATGTCTGCAACGGCCATCAGGCCCAAATGTCCAGAGTTGAAGAGCACTGGGAATGGGAGTTGCAATCATTCACTTTTATGCTGGCTAAAGACAGTTTGTATTCATCTTATGTAGTCACGTAGCAGTCGTGAGTGGAGGGCTTGCAGTTAGAGCCAGAGAGTGCAACTGCTGAATGCTAATGGTGTGCTTTTGCCAGTGACCATGAAAGTAACTTGATCTTACTCAAAATGTCACTTAAAAGGGATTCATCTCAAGTGGTCAAGCGAGGATCTCAACCCTACCAAGGCCTGACAAGCATTAGAGTGTGCATACTAAGCCTAAGAGTGTGTCCAAGAGATCGTTTAACATTCGGTGTGGTGAGGGGTGACGAAGCGCTTCAAGGATTATTCAGTTAATCGATTAGTTGTCAACTATTAAATCGTCAACCATGTTTTAAAATTAATTATTTTAAGTAACTTTTTAAAGATGATATCTGATTCCAGCTTCTTGAATTTAAACATGTTCTGTTTTTTTAAATTTTCTGTGACAGTAAAGTGAATATCTTTGGGCTGTGGACAAAACAAGACATTCGCAGATGCCATTTTGGACTTTAGGGAAACACGATGGACATTGTTTTTTTGTTTGTTTGTTTGTTTTCACCATTTTCTGACATTTTATAGACCAAACAACTAATTGATTAATCAAGAAAATTACTGACCAGTAACTCAACAGTGAATATAATCATTTGTTTCAGCCTTTGAAATAAAGCATTTGGGGGTTTATTTGTGCTTTTAAATGGAGAATACAATAAATGGTCGACGTCATCTGTGTTTTTATTGAACAAATATTGTTCTCCCTGGAGGGCAGTCTGATATCTGCAAACTCTTATTTTATGCAGTGATGTTTTATTAGTTTGGTGGCACTCGAGATCAGTCTTGGTCTTTAAACCAATCACTGCAATGTTCGTTTATTATGGGACTTGCACTGGCCTGGTCTTGGTTGTGACTTGTTCTTAATTTAGGTGGTCATGACAATAACTCCCCAGTTCATGAATAATCAAAATGCTTTTAACCAGAAACCACAGGAGAGAAACACCTGCAGTTGGCATCATAGCAGTTGTTTCCCATTTTGTTTCACTTGTCATCATGAGTTTCTCTTGACTGCAGGCCACTGAGGTAAATTGTATTTTTTTGGAACATATCTGAAGCTGTGTAATTCTGAAAGAAATACAGGAGACGTTGGCAATCTGGTGTGTAATCTACTCCCATTGGGAATAAAAACTGCATGTTATGTAGGTTTGTAGGACATTACCTGTGTGCCTGCTGGGGTTTTTCTACCTTGTGTTCTGTTTCTCAGAATTTATAATTGAACAGAAAACAACATCTATAGTTTTCTGGTGGATTAACAAGCAAAAAAATAAACTTCATATAATGCTGCATCCTGAGAAAAAGCTTTATATTGTCATTTTATGTTACTCTTTCACCATACTCTGCAGCTTTTATATTTGTAATATGGCACGTTAGTATGATCATGACTGTGATTTTCAGGATCGAACAGAAGCACCTTGACCCGAAAAAGAGTTTGCAGCCATCTTCGAATTGGCAAATCATTTTTCTCGTAGCTGCAGAAAAAAAGACATCCAAAAGTATGTGTTTCATATGGCATGCTCCCATTACATGACACTAGACCGCCTGTATTTTGAGATGTCCGTAGTAGCATGGCTGAAAAATAAGCTTGCAGTTACCATCAATTAAACTGTTCTTCCTTCTTTACTTTTTTTTTTTTTTTAGACATACAATGTACTGTCAGGACATGTTTGCAAAATTCTCTTAAGATGTTTTCAGCAGGCATTTAGTTTGGCATTACCGAATGCAAATTTATTTTATTATAGAGCTCAAGAGAAGTTACTTTCCCGCTAATGGCAGATAAACACAGGACAGAAGGAAGTCTAGGGACTTCTGTGACGACAACCACTGTTCATTTGAGATGTCATCAGTCTCTTTCAGTGGCTTATCCCCCTCGTCCTCAAAGCTGAAACTGTCTGAGCCCCCTGAGAGTGACATTCTTTCTATTCTGATGGAAATCGATATTTACGATTTGTACATCACCACCCTTAATGCCTCCCATTGTCTGCATGGCCAGAGCCCTTTTCTGTGACATCCTCAGAAGGAAAAATACCATAATTTCCATTTCTGTCATTATAATCGAAAGAGCCAGACAGAAATGCAGTCCATTGAATTCGCATCTCGCTGTCACTCATCATCTCAGGGCGACAGGCTGCTTCCTGACAGCAGATTGAAAATAAGTTTGGATTCACTCTGTCGAGCTCCTGTCTTAGAGTTATTCCTAGCTGCTGGAGCTTTGGACAGAAAAAGAATATAGTCATGAATGTCTGGGTCTAAGTTGGATGAGTGGTTTAGCTCCTGTGGCACTCAATCAGCCTGAGGAGATTTGGGGATGAGCAAGTAAACAATAGTCTGGATGAATTACTGGGAATACTATTTCAGGTCATTTTGTCCTGATCTGTCTTGTCTTGAGTGGATGTTCATTCCCTCTCCCTCCATCAAAACATGCGTGAGATGACTGCTGAGGAGTTAGCCTATACCCTTGGATTACTCTCACTAGACTTATGCTGCTGTCTGTCTGCCACAAGCAGAGCTATTAAGCATCCAATATCCACGACCTCCAAGGACTGGGCTAAGTGAAAAGCTCACACAAAGACTGTCACCAGTTGTTTTGGGAATCATTTGAATATTATTTATGCTCGGCTATATTTCAGGATGGTGTGACTGGCATGTTTTGGCACTCCGACTGGATTTTTGTGCAACAGGACACCCACACACCCAGCAGAGTAAACAAGACTAGATCGGCAGCCATACTGAAGCCTTTGTGAGGCTGCACTTGGGTACTTTGGTGCTTCGAGCTAAAT